AGAATTAGAATGGACACTCTCTTAAATTTCAAGGGGCCATGAATGCTGAGCCTTTTCAGAGCTAAATGTCCATTCTTCATACAATGTTTTTAAAAGTAGAAACTGCTATTACATAGATATCCATGAGACGCTGAAAGTATTCCTGTCACCCATTCTCCGTAGTACATTCACCTATAAAAAAACAACTTCATAATGTCATGCCATGCCTTTAGTGTTTAATATAAAAAATAAATATTTTAATTGAAGAAAGTAAATTTAAAAAAAAAACAACAACTTCAGCTCATCTTGAGCTTTGAGAAAATTTAATTGAGCAGAAGTTGATGTTGATGACCCAAACCAGAGAATATCTCTAAAGCAAACAAAGAACAATAATGAAACAACAAATGATAAAAAAAAAAAAATAACCAAGCAGAAAAACACTTGGAATACAGCCGCAAAGGTGATGCAATTAAACTAAGCCAAGCAAAAAAATTTTTTGCATGTGTCTTTTTGTTGTTGTTGTTGTTGTTAGCATATTATGGGGGTACAAGTGTTAAGGTTACTTATATTCCCCATGCCCCCCCCCTCCCCTCGAGTAAGAGCTTCAAGCATGTCCATTTTTGCATGTGTCTTTTTAGCCAAGCCTCTGAATCAAAACTTTTACATAAATCATGGTTTTAAAACATCGAAAACAGTTCTGTGCAGGACATGATCCTACTCTCATGCATAGTCATCTATTCTGAGCACATGTCTTCTGTCTTCTTTCACCCCTTATCTTCCTTCAGCTAATTCTGAGGGCTTAACTTCTCCCCGCTCTCCCAGCAGGTAGCTTGAGGCAGCTCCACCCTGGGTCTGCCTTTCTGCAGCCCGCCCCACCCTCCTCCCCTGTGGCATGCGTGATTTCTCCTTAGCATTTGGCCCCACGCCTGACTTTCCAGAGGACAGGAAGGCTGGGGCGTGGTTAAGCTCCCCGTCTCCGAAGGCAGCCAACTGGGCAGTAGTTTCTACGGTGTCATAACAAGCTAATGGCGAACCTCTACCTGCCTCATGAGGTCATTGTGAGGGTTGGCAGTTTCTGGTACATGATGCGTGTTGTTACTAAGGCTCTCAACAGCTGTTTTGCCAACTGAAGGAATTCATTCACTCTCACTGGTTTGGTGTTAACTTGACTCTCCCAGCATCTTTGTTCCTTATGCCTAGCCAGAAGAGGAGGAGAAGGCTGGCTCAATTTCCATGGCCAATTTTACATCTCAGATACATCGCTTTTCTATGTCTCCTTATTTAAATAAATTCATGACATTGACCTACTACGCTAACTTGGTCATACTGCTTTCTGCTGCCTTTGTGACCTGATTCTCCCTTGGCAGGTATGTCTGCCTCTGACTCACTTCACCTCCTGCCCTCTCCAGCCCCATTGTCCTTTGTGACAAGTTCATATTTGTGGTCCATGGTTAGAGGCTGCAACCTCCTGCTTTCTTGTCCTCTCTGAGGCTTAAACCAACCATCTCTGTTGCATGGTGGCCACACAGTAAGTGCTTCCCGCCCTAAACTTCATCATGACCAGGCGCAGTTGTCGCTGCAGGCTCTCTTGCCTCCCCAACTCCTTACCCCTAACCGGGTGGTTCTCACCGTGTGGAACCCCGACCAGCAAAAGCAGCACCAGCATCACCCAGGAACTTGTTAGACATGCCTGTCCTCAGGTCTCACCCCGCACTGACCCTCCTGGGTCAGAGACGCAGGAGGAGCTAACTCTCCAGGGGACCATAATGCTCGGTAAAGTTTGGAAACCATTGACCCAACCCATCTCATCTCTTCTGCCTTCTCCCTTCCTCCGGTTGGCATTTTACTAATTCTTATAGTATGCATCTTATGATTGGAGGTCATCGTGTGCCATTTTTGAAAGCCATTATCATAGAGAACTTTAGAAGGTAAAGCATCAAAATTATTTCCAACACTCAATGAGCGCTGTCTCATCCATGCTAACAAGATGGCGAAGACCTAGATAGATGAAAGTGCAAGTAACCCATTTTAATCGGGAGGGTTAAATTCTTCCTGTGGGGACAGGTTTTTAAAATAATACGAATTTTAAAATGCTGGTAAAGATGCCAATAAACAGTACTAGTAAATAGTAAAAGGACATGGAGAGCCTGACTAGTCTTCAGATTACTCACACTTATAATTACCAAGCATTAGGAATTCCCAGCTAAGTCTTTAGCTCGATGATGGGTATACAAGGACCATTACAGTAATGTTTCTACTGTGTGTGTGTGTGTGTGTGTGTGTGTGTGTGTGTGTTTGAAAATGTCATTAAAGAGATCTTTAAACAGTACTTACAATTGGCAGTATCATTCTATCCTCATATTATATGACTCAAAATCAAATGATTTTCACTCTTGTTGCCACCCATCTTAGTCATAAATGATAATAATGAATGTATTGTACCTATTAGTCTTCTTTTATTTCTATTAGATATATGTATGTATGTGTGTGTGTGTGTGTGTAGATGGATGGATGGATGACTAGATATATAAAATGGTTATCAATGTTAAAGAAATTACCCAAAGCTAAGATATGTATGTGGTGTGTGCATTGCTGCTAACTGTGTAAATTGGAAAATCCTTTAGAAAAACAATTTCACAGCATCCATTGGACATTAGAATATTAATACATATACATTTCATGTATTGGAATTTATTCTAAAGGGAAAGAATTCTAATTGCAGGGAAAAACTATATACAGGAAGATGGTCCTTGTTGAATTCTTTTTCATAATAGCATAAAACTATCCCTTTGTGACTAACCATAGGGAGGTAGCTAAGTCAGCATCTGTATATTCATCCAATGTGATCATCAAGATGCTAGGTATGCCAATTATAATGCTTATAATAAATAGTAGGGAAAAAAGTAAGACACAAAATTTGGTACATAGTAGGGTTACAACCAGGGAAAAATATGTACAGAAAAAGAAACTATTTCTGTTGGCTAGAGTGTTGCTATGATTAGTGTCTTATATCTTCTCCCATTTTTATTTTTTCAAAGGAAGTATATATTTAGCATTTAGGACAATGGAATTCCCAAGCTTTCTTCTTCCCCAAAGTGATTTGGGCCTTTGTGACATAGCAAAGGTACTTTTAATCTGTAGGGAGCTCAATTTTTCGAGAGTTAATATGTCCCAAGAGAAGTGAGGAATACTCCTTCTCTGTTACTAGCCTCAGCTGCAGCCTTCATGAAACCAAGATTCATAGAGAGAGTTTTGAGTAATCCAACTGTAGTTGCATCTGTTTTTTTTTTTCCAATGTTGCTTCTGTGGTATTTTTATTAATAACTGTTAAAGTGTATGCATTCCTTGTCCCAAAGGAGCAGAACTTGGCAGTAGCACTGAAACCCCCCTCTCCTCCGACCAGGACTTTCACTGTACCTGGAACATCAGAATCAAAGTGGTTTCCTAGAGATGTATTAAAGTGAACGGCAGCTGCATCATTATTCCTCCAACTGGGAACTTTAAGCAGAACTACTTCCCATGGCATCAGTTTGAACATGCTAAATAAACGCATGTTAAGAGGACTGGGGGACATCCATTATGGGATGGTGATGCATTAACACTCAGCCCTTCCCATGCCAAAGACTCCCAGTTCTGATGTGTAATTTCCACAGCATTGGCTTAGCGTCTGCTCTGCTCTGGTTTCCTTATTAATGAGTAGTATGCATATTGTTGATGCCAATTATAATGACTCCTGCTACCATTTGGGGCATACAAAAAGGCTGAATTAAAAGAAGAAAAAAACCCAACACAATCTTAAATGCCAGTGCTTGTCTGCTCCAGGTGATTATTTTGGTATTCATTATATTTTTTCTATGTTTACAGGAGATTTAGGTCAAATACCATATGTCCTTGAATCATATGCTATTTAAAGCCTGAGGGTTTGTAGATTAATCTATTGAACATACTCTCACTGGGTCAGTTCTAATTGGTGGTGGGGAGGGGGGATAGAGGAGTCCTATATGTGTGTATATATAGATAGATACAGATACAGATATCATTGCTATATAAAATTATAACGATGGGTGCAACATGGCAAAAGGAAAGAATTATTTACCCAAGATTCACCTTGGAGTCACCTCATTGTTTCATTTCTACAAGTAAGTCATCTTTCTTCGGGTTTTAAGTCAGGCCATTGCTCTGCTGGTTTCTGTGTTTCCGACGGGGCATAACTTAGTCTTTCATCTGAGTGTTTATTCATCTTACTGGAATGGCTTTCAGTCCTCTTTAAAAATTAATTTGACTTTAATGTCTAGTTATCTAAGACTCCCCTGGGCTAGGATGAAACCACACTGGGGGGAATTTTGATTTGACAAATGGCCATTGTGCAGGGGCCTTTGATCCGCCACTGTGGTGTTAACTAGCTAGCCCTTGTTTTGCTGAGCTTGAAGCAGGATCAAAATCTGCAGCAGATGGCATGATCGGTGGCCGGCACCGGGAGAATCCTGGCACTTCCCAGCGTCCTTGGGAGATTAGAGCCTGCTTCCACCCAACTTTAGCACCTAGAGAAGTTGGACAAGGAGGTAACCTGAAGAAGGGATGAGTCTTTTCCTGGGATCTTGCTGCTTGCTGAGTAACATGAAGCCCTTTGCTCCCTAAAGTAGGAATTCCCAATCCTGGTTTTCCAATCTCTTGAGGTCTGCTGAATTTTTCCACATTTTTAAAAATGATGAGGAAAAATTAATTTTAATTCGCTTCATTTAAAAAAAAACAAAAACCAATGCCTAGAAAATGTGATGGATGCTGATTAGAAAGACAGAGAAAACAGGCAAATTGCTGAAGATCGCTGGAAATTGTTGTCCTGATGGTTAGACAGACATATCTCTAAAGATAAGGGAAAGCGTGTTAAAAGCTAAACAACAGGTGTCGGCTTTTGATACTGACCTTGATAAAGATTGTTCAGAAGCACGCAGCAGGCAGTAAGTGTCGCCCTTTCCTGGAAGGTGGACATTGTCTAACTCTGCAATCTCTTTTTCTTACAGATGGGGAGCTTTCCATATCGAATGAAGACGACTCCTTGGAAAACGGGCAGTCCCTGAGCTCCAGCCAGCTGTCTCTGCCTGCCCTGTCGGAAATGGAGCCAGTCCCGATGCCCAGGGACCCCTGCTCGTACGAGGTGCTCCAAGCTTCAGACATCATGGATGGGCCAGGTAATGCCCTTGGCAGGGTTGCAGAGTGGGACTCAGAGTGTGGCGCTAGACCTTTGGCCTGGCTGAATTGGGACTGTATTTTGGGATATTCTAAGCATAAGGATCTGGATATTTGGATAAAACTGACCTCATAGTAGTTTTTAGTACGTACTGAGTGTTTTCAAAATGGAGAATATTTACACTTATTGTTCCACAGTTTTTAAAAGTTTTCTTTATAACCTTAATCTCCTTCAAGAAGGTAGGGCTTATTTTTGTAATATTGCTCATTTAAAATGTCACTGTTTTGTTTTCTAACACTGATCTCTGTTAAGGTAAAGCTGAAGAATTCTGTGTTTCTACTGGCACCTACCTAATTTGTCTGTTCAGAATGCCTGGGCATACCCTTTGATATACCAGTTAATGGTGGTATTATATCAATTTAGTAAATCGTATCAATTTACTGGACACAGTCAATTAATTTCATTGTCAACGAAATTGTGTGTGGTTTACTGGTTAAGTTATATCCTGCCAATAGATGGTTTTTGGTGCCATCTGACCGTCACCTCCTATTTGGTCCAGAGTCATCTGAGTGGCCAGTACTCATTCTCTCGGGTTTGCAGAGTGGTCCTAATTAGCCCAAAAATGGGTCCCCCCAGTAGCTGATGAGAAATGGTATTTGTTGTCAGGAGACTAGTCTAGGGGGAGGAACCTGCTGGAATATGTGGAGTATGGTCCAAAGGCCATGTCCCTTTGCCACATCATGGGTAAAATCCACACCCATGGGAGTCCCCCGGGAGCCCGGGAGGGATGGTGTGTCACAAAGTCAACTCCCATGCTTCACTTTGGGAACTGGCGAGTCACTGCTCCATCAGTGCGTCCCACACTGATAACAAGAGTGTCCCTTGAGACGGGGAGAAGTTAGTGCTCACGAGGACTTTTTGCCGGGCTTTGCTGCTGCACAGAACCCTGTCACCCACAGCACGCGGGAAGACAGAGGGCAGGGCGGGGAGGAGGCATTTACAGGCGTTCTTGCTGTGGCAGTGCTGGGAGGTGAGAGGGTGTGCAACTGAGTCACATTCCCTGCCCCTCCCCCCATGCCTGGCCCCGGGAGAGTTTTCCAAAGAAAGCAGTGAATTTTTTAAATCCCGTCTCCCTTGTGACATTGGAATCAAATGGATTTAATTGTTTTAGTGCAATCTGTCATCCCAGAGTAGTCACAGAGTTTCACTCTGTCATTGGCCAAGCTACCAGCACGGGAGGAAGGTGTGTGCCACCGGCCAGGGACAGCTCTTCAGGGAGCCAGCCAGGGGCTCCCCCGCAGGGGAGAAAGGAGGCCCAAAGCAGAGCAGAGAAATGGGGGATTGAAACAAGAGAACAGTAATTCTAGCGAGCAAGAGGAGAGAGGAACGGGAAAGAATGAAAGGTGCTGACTTGAAGCATCTGTGCCTTGTCAGAGTGGCAGAGGCAGGACGGTGTCCCTAACACTACGGAGCACTGGCTTGGAGGAGGCTGCTCAGCGCAGAGCACCTGGAACCCAGAGGAGCAGCCGCCAAGGCGTGTGGGTGCAGCCTGTGTGGTGTCGGCCTTGCAGGCTGGCATCAGTGCCTGGCGTCCCAGAGCTGGAGGCAGGCCGGAGCGGGACCCAAGGAGCAAAACCGAGACTCCCTGCGTGTTTGAGCCCATGCGCTCCTCCCCGCAGCAAAGGGCAAACGGGCCCGAGCCAGGGATTGGAGGGGGCTCTTCATCCTTGATCTTCTATACCTGCCATCCTGTCGCTTGTTGCTTGGCCCCATGAGTCACATTTCAGAGCATCCGTAGGATTTGTATGCTAAACGCCAAGTCTGAAATGGTAAAGTTTCTGACGGTTTTGAGAAAACGCCCTCCTCTCTCTCTCCTTCTCGCTCTTTCCATCTCTCCCTCTCTCTTCCTCAGCCTCCCTCTGCATCCCTCCTGCTCTATCGGATTTCTGGTGTCCTCACTGTGACCCCCCACCCGTGCGTGGTGACCCCAAGCAGTCAGCGCTCTGCTGTGTTGCTCTCCCGTGTCCCTGTCCTGTGTCCCCCGCCGGCCTGCCTGCACTGCGTTTGTGTAATGTCTCCTGTGTATCATGTGGTTGTCCCCTCAGTGTCTGAAGAGAGTCCCTCTGCCAGTGAATGTGGAGTCCTCCTGTCCCAAGATCCTTCAGCCAAACCAGTCCTGCTCCTGCCCCCCAAAAAACCTGCTGCTTTCCCTGGAGACCATGAGGAGACCCCAGTGAAGCAGCTATCCCTTCTCAAGCAACCCCCGGCCCTGCCTCCCAAACCCACTGCCAGGATTGCCAACCACTTAACAGGTGAGTGGAGCCCTCTTCCGGGGGCGTGCGGCCCCTCCTTCCCTTCAAGGGATTATTTCTTTCTCTCTTGTTCTTTCTATCTGAGGCCTAAATGCGCCTCTCTGGGGAGGCCGCCCCGTGGGATGTTTGGGTGTTTCTGTGTGTGTCTTGGTACCTACAGTCATGACCGGGGTTTGTGCTTTCGTGTCAAGAAGCATCTGATATACACCTGCCAGCCATTTGCCTGGAGCCTGCAGTTGTGTGTATCTGTAAATACGTGCATTGTATTTATGTGACTAATTCAGGATTATTTGCCCATCTGGGTGAAGTCGATTCAGCATCACCATTTTTTGCAGAGATAATGAATAGTGCCTTTTTCCCTTCATGAGGAGTTTTTTTCAAGGCTTTAAGTTTTTTGTCTTTAAGTTATTGATCTGAAGCCCAGTATCTTTCTTCCATTAAAATTCATTTCAGTACTGTCTGTTCTCTTAAAAAAGAAAAGAAAAAAATAAAAAAGCAAAGATAATCTGCCAAGCACATGGGAAATACTTTTAGAAGAAGAATAAGCTTAGCAATGTTGTCCTAAAATGGTTTTTGTATTTTCATTTTGAAGTGTTACTTAATGAATGTATCCGAAGTTATTAAATTGGGCATTCAGTGAAATTGTAGTGCACTGCACATTGGCACATGAATTAGATACCATTCTGTGATTTAAGGTTATGGTAGAATCAGAGATTGAAAGATTTCAGGGGGTTGTTTCTCCAGTTTTGATTATAATCCTTACCTGATACTGTCTTTCTACAATGTATTCGGTATTTTTGTAGATAGTATCTAATTGACCTCTATAGCATTTTGTAACATTAATGGGGGTGGGGGTAGGGAACAGCATTCACCTGTCTTAGAGTAGAAACACTGAGGTTTAAGAAAAATAAGTGACTTTCCCTGGGCTGACAGGAATTCTGGAACAGAGGCCCAGTAAGACCCTGTGCTTCCCAGCTCCTGCTTCAGTGAATGTCGTTTCCATGATAGCAGCTGTCTCTCACGTAGACTTTTAGGCATGGGCTTGTCTCAAACTACCCTGCTAATGTGTTCGTCCACCCAAGTCAAATGTTTGTGGCCTCAAAGAGAAAGAGCAATGTTTCCATCTAAAAGGACCACTCAACACATTAATAACATGTTAGATCAGTGCTCCAAAACTCAAATTCACAGGAGAAAATGCCATGGAAGCCTCCTTCTAAGAAATAACAACTATCCATTTATCTAATAAAAATCAAACATTGCTGTACATGTTGTTTTATCACCTGGTTTTTGCACTTTGGTGATATGTTGTGAACTGATTCTTGTGTTAGTAAATACTCCACGACATGATTTTATTAGCTGCTTAGCGTGGATCAGGGTTTACTTAACTGACTCCTTAAGATATTTTCATCATCTCTGTTGTAAAAACACAGCAGTGAACATGCACAGCAGCCTGCATATATCTTTACAAGCCTCTCTGAGCTTTCCCTAATTTATTTCTAGAGCTAGAATTGCTGAGTCAAAGACTGTGTATCTTTTAAGGCTTTGATGTCAAATTTCCCTTAAGAAGGATAAAATAGTGTGCAAAATAAGCCCCTTCGTATAATACGTAATTATCTAACACACCTACTGTAGGCAGAATACTGTGCGAGGTATCAAAGCAAATTTGAGTCTATGCCGGTTTAAGGACTACATACACGTATATAAAACAGAGTGCCAAAGTGACTGCTATAAAGAGTATTTCCTGTAGTTCAGTGTGGTCTCGTAAAGGGGTTACAGGAAGAGGCTGAATCTTGAGCTGACTTGTCAAGTGTGAAGGGCGTTCCAGTAAACAGGACCCTGGACAAGGGCTCAGAGGTGGCAGTGTTTTGGGTCTTTGAAGAGTTGACTGTGCTGGAGTGGAGGCTTCGTTTCGAGGTGTACTGAGAGAGAGGGGTCACTAGGTAAAGGCATGCAAGGATTTAGATTTTATTCCCTAGGCACTGGGAAAGTCTCTGGAGGTGTTTGGGCAGGGGAGGGATGTGAAACAAACCGGCCTTTAAAATGTATCTTCCTGGGCCACTGTGCAGAATGAGCAGGCGGAGGAGAAGGTTGAAGGCCTGTCAGAGACGCTACCTCCGAGGCTACAGCTCTAGGCTGTGTACTCCAAAATCACTAGTTGAATAATTGGACCAATCCGAGCCAGGGAGACTATTTAAGAGACTACTAGAGTCACTGAAATATGAGCTAACAATCATCAGACGGATAGCATTGAGGAGAGACCAGGCCAGTAGATGAGACATTGTTAAAGAAGAGTTGACAGAATTTCTTAACTAACACCACCTTCTAATTTATAAAGTTACCTAATTAATGCATGCAACGTGAGCTTCATCTGTGAGCCCAGGAGTTTAGGTGGCCTGGTATCCACAGGACTCTTTACATGCGAAAGACCCAAAGTATCTACATTGACCTAATCTCTCCGGCCTCCCTGGTCTTTCCCAGGAGAGCAGACTATATTATCTGTACTCCTCACCTCCGTATAGCTTAGATCGAATGAATAAAAATACACAAAAGCTGATATCTTTACCATACCTGTACCTGGTAACCTCTAAAATATGGTAAAGACAAGACAAGTAGGGAAGTCTGTGGACTGAGTCTAGTGCTACTCTTTTGGGTTTAAATTCAATTAGACTTGCTTAATTTTTATAAGTGAGCAATCAGTCGTAATGAATCTGCATCACCGTGAAGCAGCTACATTAACCCTGTTCTGTTACTAATTACTCCAGAGACATCTGGGCCACGTCAGAAGGAATTAATAAACTACGAATTCCAGAACTCTAAATTGAGACCTGTGCATTTTAGTATGTTCTCAGTGTCTGTTGTTTTGTTGACATGTTTGAAAGGAAACACAGGACAATTGAAAGACATCAAGCGTGGTTAATGGACAGCGACAGCAGTAAATGGTCTGGTAGAATACTAGAGGAAATATGAGCCTCAACCAAGGCCGATTCCAAGTTCACAATCAGGGAAAGACATGCAGAAATATCTCTACTTTGGCATTTGCTTCCACTCTGTCAGGAAAACCATAATTATCTTGGAAGCTATTTGTCTTACAATTTTTCTCTGTTCGTCAGCCAGCCAGGGAGAAGCTCTCTCACTCTCCCAAACTGTCTTCTTTTCCTATCATCATCCTCTTCCATCTCATCTCCTGCAACATCAGCCTGTGCAGTGGCACATAATACGAGGTCAGGAGCTGTTGGACATCGGAATCCTTCCTTTCTGGAAGTACAGTGTCAGACAGAGCTGGTTGTATAATGAATGTGATCTGAGGTGAACCGAGTCTCAAAATGCATCCTTCTTAGAATGATGGATGACCCTAGACGAGAAAGGTGATGGAGGCAAAAGCCACTGTCTCCTGCCTTTCTAAGTCTTCATCAATCGCCTCCCCAGGCATCCTGGCTGCAGAAGTCAAATGTTAAACTCTGCATGAATAACCCATGCCTTCTGCACGCAGGTACCCCTGAGTGCCAGGTGAATGAGGGACAACCATCGGACATGGCTGCTGGACTTCACAGTGGGCAATAGTAATGGCAGCTAGCATTTTTTGAGAACTTTACCACGTACCATTTAGTACTATGATGTAGATACCGTTATCATTATTACCTCTTTTTCACAGAAGAGGTAGAAGTTAAAGGACTTGATTATGGTCACATAGCTAGTAAGTGACGGTGATAAGCATAAACCCATTTTGTTTGAGTCCAGAGTCCTCACTTATAACCAAAACTTTATACCGTCTTCACCAAGACGCCTAATCCCAAATTTTTTTTTTTAAATCATCAGCTTTCTTTGTTTTTTAGTTTTGTATGTTTTAATCCACTTAAGCAGTTAGAAAATCTGCTTCGTTATTTTTATAACTTGTATTAGTCATCTTGGGCTACCATAACAAAATAACATTGACTGAGTGGCTTATTAAACAGAAATTTATTTTCTCACAGTTCTGGATGCTGGAAAGTCCAAGATTAAGGCCTGGGAGGGTTCTCTTTCTAGTGAGGGCTCTCTCCCTGGCTTATAGACAGCTGCCTTCCTGCTATGTTCTCACATAACAGGGAGAAAGAAAGAGATCTCTGAAGTCTCCTGTTATAAGGGCACTAATCCTATCAGATTAGGGTCCCATCCCCAGGATCTCATTTAACCTTAATTACTTCCTTACTCCAAATACAGTCAATGGGGGGTTGGGGCTTCAACATATGCATTTGGGGGGGTATGGGGGAGACACAATTCAATCCACAGCATAACTCAGGGACAACAATTATCTAGTCTTTCAAAAATAAATGATGTACTGAAGGCACTTGATTATAAATAGGAGGACCTGAGTTCAGTTAGGTTGGTTTTCAAAATAGACCAGAAGTGGACAGTCTACGTAAGAGTCAGGAGCAAGGGTGCACCACGTGGCAAGCAGCTGACCACAGTGAGAGACTGACGGTTCAGCAAAGAAAGGGAACTGTTAGTGATCCTTAAAAACAAGTTCTTCTGATAATATGCACCTGACTAGGATTTATTTGCACTGTCTTTAGAACCTGAAATACAAGGAAACTTATCATATTCTCAGAACTCAGTTGACTGCTAGTTTCAACGTTGCCAAGGTGTTTGCAAGCACAGTTTTACCCGACAAATGGCATCTGTGCCCTGTGGTGTTGTTCAGCCCCAGCACCTGCGAGTGTCTAATGAGAATCCTCTATCCAGTGCTTGTCAAGCCAAGACCAATATTGCTATTTATAGCTGTCTCTCTAGTGTCGTGGACTCGGTCCCTGTTGTGCAGTCACATTCTGATATGGAGTTTCATTATGTGGCTCTGTTGCTGATTCTCTCTCCCCTGTTGCACCCCAACACCCCCTCCTCCCTCCTCCCTCCTCTGTGTCCTCCTCTGCAACCCAACAGAATCATTTGGCTCCTTCTGCCTCTGTCCCTGCCCTCCCTCCCAGCATTCCTGACTGTGCAAGAAAACCAAGGATTAGACTGCTGTG